AGAGCACGAGGGTGGCAGGCAGGAGGATCAGTCGGGGCAAAACACGTCCCCATTTCGGTCCTGCGTTTCAGAAGTCGGCATCGGGAAGACTCAAACTTGTCCCATTAAAGTGCAAGTGGGCAGAATTTTTTTGTAAGCTGTTCCAAGATGCTAGTAGTGGACAGGTTAGAAAAGCTTTTAATTGATCGATCGATCGATCAATCATGTGCCTAAACCTCATGAAAATAACTGTTCCAGCCCCTATTGGTAGGAATCCTGAATTTGGGTTTGGAGATGCCCGATGTCTTTCTTTGGGAAACAAATCTGGCGACGTGATAAGAAGCAGCAATGCACATCTTTGCACAGAGCCAGCAGCTGCGCCAGTAGCATGCGCTAGAGGACCTGGAGGCATGGACTCTGGGAACCCAGTGCTCCCAAATGACCCCCCCCCCCCAATCCTTGCAGGGATCACTAGGCTTAGATGCATTTTGGGGTAGGCAGACCTTTGTTTGCTCCGCACGGCATCCTTTTTGCTGATGCCACTTCTGCGCTTTCAGTGTAGTGCTCAAACAGGTACCCAAAAGCACATTAAGCTGCCACAAAAGTACACCACAAATGCCAAATTCCTGCTGCCCTCAAGACAGGTGAGTCACAAATACCACCCTGAATACTCCAGTTCTACTATTCACTCCCCACCTCCAAGGTGAAGGAGCAATACATATGCAGAGCAGGATCTTTACATAAACGCACTGGGATATCACAAAAATTTGGGGTAGGCTCTCTTTGGTGCCAGGATCACTATGTTTGCTTGCTTGGCTCACAGCCTTTGCGAGTCACCCATCTCCCAGGAGTTGGGATTATTTCACTTCCAAAAGTGGCAGGGTCTTTGGAACCTTTGACCTGCCCCTCCCCCAAGATACTCCCTCTCTTCCTGCAAGAATGTATCCCAAATGACTGCAAGAGAGCATGAAATGAGTGCCAAGTGTGCCCAGGTTTGCTCCTTCAGAGCTGAGAGTCTTCCTGGGCAGCCTAAAACCCAAGAATGTCACCGGGGGGGTACCAAACAGGCACATCTGTTACAAGACTGGTGCCAGCCGAATGAATCCATCCACCCCATATCCTCTGCAATGAGTCCCTTTGCCAGAGGAGCCTTCCACGGGGTCCAGCGGAGGCGAGGCCGTGGCAGCCCTGAAGCACTGCTTGCAAAAGCCTGCGACTCAGCACAGGGGCAGAACATGGTGGGGCGCAGCCTCACCAGAGAGGAGGGGGGCCGAGTGCAGCACGGGGCCTCTGCTAAAAGGGCACCTGCTGAGCTCACAGTGCGCCCAGCCCTCTTCCTTGCTTGCCTGGAGGTTTGTGTGTTGCGCTTCTGCACTATGCTGGATAGGCTGAAGGCTCTCTGGGCCATTTGCGCCTGCAGCGGCCATCCAAAAGGACAGCTGGAGGAAAGGCCTCCCATTCTGGGCAGAGGGAAGGCACCCCTACTCTGAGCGGATGCCAGTTCGCTCCCTTGTTTCAGCTGCTTTTAAGAAGAGAGAAATAGTGAATAGTAGCTGGCGAGTAAAAGGAATACACACTGGACTTGTAAACTCTAAACCTTATTTGGAATTGCAATGTTTACTACAAAAATCCTAAACTGGTTTTTTTTATTACAAAACAAGATAGCTATGATGAAATCTAATCATGAGCAAACTGACATTTGCAGGGCAAGCCTAGAGTCCCCAGAGAGCACGGGGCAGGGGGCAGGCTTGCTGGGATTGCCAGTGCTGGGACCAGAAAACCCCACGGGCACCGACTCTGGAGATCTGCACTCAGAGCTGCCCAGCATTGTGCTGGCTGCTTCCAAGGGTCCGGGGAGAAGGGAGAGAGGAGGGCACCCCCACCACAGCACGTCACATCACAGTGGCACCCCTCCCCTCCCCATTGAAGCTGCGACCTTACCGCTTTGCAGGATGGGGGGGAACACAGGAACCCCCACCTCTCTGCACAGGATGCTGCAATTACTTTAGCGTATTTCATGGGTGCCTGCAGTCCAGAGAGTTACAAGCATCCTCGGAGGGCTGGGCCATGCAGTCTTGTAAGTGCAAACTAGCAGGTTACACACATCAAGTGACTGACCCGTGGATGGTGGACACTCATTTAGCTCTTCCCTTACAAAATGGCTCTGCCCATCCTGACCACCGGCTCTTCCTTTTGGGTAGTCTGGGCTTTGCCAAAGCTGAACGCCCGAGCACCTGCTTGGCATACAGAAGAATGCAGGCTCCATGCTGGCTGGGGCTGAAATGCCCCTGCCTGCGAGCACGGGGGGGGGGGGGGCACTGCACAGCTGCCCCTCGTCCGAGACAACAAAGGTGGGCTGGATGGGCCAGTGTGGTGTTGTGGTTAAGAGCACAGAACTGGGACTCAGACGATCCGGGTTCAAGTCCCCGCTCAGCCATGGAGCCAACTGGGTGGCTCTGGACCAGTTACAGACTCTCAGCCCAACCTACCTCACAGGGTTGTAGTTGTGGGGATAAGATGGAGGAGAATGATGTAAGCTGCCTTGAGCCCTTTGCAGGAAAAAGGCAGGATATAAATCGAAAAATAAATAAATAAATGGGAGGATGGACTGGCTTGGTCTAAGGCAGCTTCCCACCCCAGTGGTGGCACTCTGATGGAAGCAATTCCCCCTCCACCGTTGCACACCCACAAAATCCAGGCCTTGGAAACCCTCACAGCAGATTTCCAGGTGGCCCAGAGGACTGGGGGAGGTGGGGAGAAGGTTGGAATTAACCCCATGTTTCTCTGGCTAAAGCAGCATGTAAAAAAACACAAGCTAGAAACTATAACTGTTGCTCTGCACTTACATGGAGGTGGAACTAAGCCAAGAGTTTGTGAGGTTGCCAAGATAATGCAGGAAAGGATGGTCAATGGCCAGATGGTTAGGAAGAGAGATAAAAGAATACGGTGTTGTAGCAGAAGAGGAGCGAGTCCCCGTGTTCCAGCCTGCTTTCACTCTGCTAGTGCATGAGAGGCCTTCTCTGCAAATGTACCCTTCTTTATTTTGCTCAATGCCAGGCTGAACTGGAAATGAACATGTTCTACTGATCACGCTTGTGCAGTCGCTTGAGAAATATGTGAGGACCCATCAGGGGTAAACTCAATTCGACTCACTTTGTCCTGGTGGTCACCACAGGGACCCTTGACTAAGGGTTCTCCCCGGACAGGCTTTCCCCTGAGAATGGATCGCCCAGAAGCCCTGCAGTTCCCTAGGAGAGGACCGGGCAGGCTGCCTGAGGGACAGATGGGGAACTGGGGAGCAAATGGGAATCTGCCCCCCACCCCTTGGAAACGAAGGCCACACACGTGGGAGGGGTTCCTGTGTGGCTGGAACACGGGAAGCCACTCTAAAGTTTTTGCAAGGACCCAGTGACAGGAAGGAGCGGGGCCCCTTGCTTAAGGCAGAGGCCGAGTTCGGGAGCAGAGCAGTCGTCTCAAGTCCCCACTCAAGTCAGCCGACTCAGTGGAGACAGCCGTCACCATGAGCCCGTCACCTCTGCACACTGCTCAGGCGGGGCTCCTTGTGAGTCACCACAGAAGGCCAAGCCTGTTCGCCGCTGGGCCGCCCAGCAGGAGCCTTTTTGCCCTGCGTATCCTCACGCCCTGAACATCTGGCAATCCCTGAAATCATCAGCAGGACCCTTCTGTCTGTCTGGGGGTGGCCGTGGAAACAGCTATGCAACGAGGAGGCACAAGCTTCCCTTTTCTTCAGGAAGCAAGTAAAAAAACCAAACAAACCGAAGTGCAAGATCAAAGGAAATGCTGCAAATTGCATACATCTGGAGACACTGGAAATGTGGCACAGAGATCATGTTTTTCGGGGGGGGCAGGGGGAAGCAGCAGTGCCACATGAGGAATTTGCTTACTCTGATAAAAATGCCACAGGTGGTGTTTCTTAAAATCAGAAGTTAACCTTTAGAAAAAGCTAGATAAATTGATTAGAGTAACTTCTTTGCTCAGCAACTTACAAAGCAAGTAAAAGAGCTGGAAGAAACATTGCTTAGATTCAGTTTAAATAAGCAATAAGCCAAATGTTTACATTTAAACAAACTGTCTCTCATCAAATTAGTTAATCTAGTATTTGCAAACTCTGCGGTGTGAGCTTGGTATTGGCGCATCAATGTTTTTAGTATTTCATAGGGGTTTTGCTCCCGTTTGTCCACTGAAGAGCAGTTGAGGGATTCAGCTGCACCCATCTGCAGTTGCACCAGTTTCCCCTTTCAAAACTGGTTTTGGAAATCAAGGTTTTAGAGTTATGTCGAGGACCACGCTCGATGCCATCGATTAAAAAAGCCTCTAGGACAGTGTGCATCCCACGGACACATTCCTCTCCGCAAAATGACTCCAGATTCGAAACTCTCCCTCGCCCTGGGGAAATTTACATGAAAACCCGAATTCCCTCGTGGCGTGAGAGCCCCAAGCACAGGAGCGGGAGCGCGGTCCACAACACAGAAAGCCGCAAGTGCGGACGCGCCCGCACACTCGCCCCGCACGGGCGGCGCTCGCGGGTCGACGGCGCGCCGAGGAGGCAGCGCTCCAGATGCCTCGGCGGCGCCCGGCAAAGCGCCGTGCAGTCGGGGCGCAACGAGGCTTCCGCTCGCGCCGAGAGCGCGCCGGCAGCGACTCGGCGGCGAGGCCTCCCGCTGCCGGAGGAAAAAGGCCGGGCCGCTCCCTTCGGCGGGCAAGCTGCGGCGTCTTCCGCACGCCAATCACATGCACGGCGCGCTTCCCTCCGGCGCCTGCAGCCGCCCGCTTCTCGTCCCCGCTGCCCCGTCGGCGGGCGCGGCTCACGGGCCGCCCAGCGGCAGCGCGAGCAAGTCCCGCCCGAGCTCGGCCCGGCACAGGGCGCCCCCGCGGCGGCGCGGGGAGCCGAGCGCCTCTTTGTTAGCCGCGCGCGCCCCTCCGCCATCATCGCCCAGAGCGGCCCCGCCACCTTCGCCGAGCCCAGGGACGACGCCCGCCCCAGCCCGTGCCGCGCCTACCTGCAGCGCCCGGTCCCGGTCCCGAGGCCGCTCCGGCGCCCGGCTTCTTCCAGCGACCTACGGCGCCCGTCCTCCCCGGCGCGCCGCGACAGTCGGGCCCGGAGCGCCTCGCCCGCCTGGCCCTCCCGAGGGCGGAGCGGCGGCCCACGGGGCCGGGGCCGGGGCGGGGCAATCCGCAGGCCTTCCCAGAATGGGCCGGGCGGGCGCCCTCGCCCCCGCCGCCCCGCCCGAGCGCCTGGCAGGAGAGGTGCCCGGCGGGGTCCCGGCGACCGCTTGTGCCGGCCCGGGCGCCACTGCCTGGTCTGCGGCGGAGCGGCCATGCTGGCGCTGCCGGGGCGCTTTCGGGACCGCAGCCGGCACCCGCCGGAGGCGCGCCGGGCAGCTCCAGCGCCATCTCGGCCGGAGAGCAGGAACGGCGTGGCAGCACCACGTGCGTGAACGGCCCTTGGCCTTCCCTGCCCAGTGTGAACGCGCCATTTCTGGAATGGGGACAACCACCCCCAAAACGGGCGAAGAACATCTGGGGAAAGTCTGCAGAGCGGCCTGTTTTTGCAGGGGAGGGCGTGGGGAAGAACCATGTAGGGAACCCAGGAGGCCACGGGCTGCCGGAGCAACGATTCCGCAATGCAGGGCAGGACTGCTGTGCGCCCCCCTTGGCAAGCCCCGTTCAGAATGCTTAGCACAACAAGGATCCCGAAGCCTAGGCCATGACAGTGTCTCACAATTCTCCCTCGCATTTCTTTTTAAAGGCAGTTTCTTTTATCACATTGAGAAGGGTTTCAAATGTGCAAGAAACTTTCAACCCAGCCCTTCGTTTGGGGTTGCCTCTCACTCCAAACCCTTTCCATCATGGTCAAAGGAAGGTGTTGCCATTCTATGCTGGTGTCTGATGGCAGTGATACAGTCTACTCCAGGCAGACTCAAGTGCTCAGGGAGTGCCAGCCTGTGCCGAGCGGGACTGCATTCCCCTGACCTCAAGGTGCATGTGAGGCCTGCTACTGCTCCTGAATGCCAAGGCCGCGGTGGCAGCCCAGATTGTGTGTGCACAGTTGCAGCAAAGGCCGCAACTCTGCCCATTCCTGTATCTGGTCTGGTCACAGTCCCATGTGCATTGATTACAACCCACTGCATGCCTGTGGAAGTTCTGGCACAATCCAAAATGCTGCTTGTGCTGTGCTTTAAGCCACCCTTGTGGTCCCACTGCCGTCAGAGGCTGGTTCAGTGGCCTTCCTGGTGCCTGCTCCTGGGCTCTGGCACTTCCTGTGAAGGGGGGGCTCCTTTCCTGTTCTGTCTGTCTGTGCTGGTCTTGCGGAAGCTGGTCTTGGGCTGTGCCCTCTTGTTCTGTTTTTAAATGGTAGTTAATCCAGTTGTATAATGGCATTTATTTTAATCTTGGTTTTCCTACTGTTAGCTGCCTTAAGTGCACTTTTGATGGTGGGTATCAATCAAGGCACTCAATCAATACATTTCAGTGGTGTGCCTGCAGAAAATTTTCTTTTGTTGAAATCAACAAATCAAGCGCACAAATTTGAGGCACTCTGCAAACGAATTTGTGCTTTATCGTGCATCCTTTTGCCAGTGGAAATTGAGCTACGCAACGGCCCTTTCTTTGTACGTTTCCTTTGAAGGGGTAAGCCCATTTTACTGTTTAGAGCAGGCCTCATTCCTGGTACCCCTAGTAAGGGTTGACAGGCTCCACAAGGCCTCAGTGCTGCCAAGTCTCCAGTGGCCAAACCCTGCACATGGTGCCAACAGCCACCGTGACTTGCGTGACTGCCCTGCATCAAATGGGCCCCCCTTGCCTGGCCTTTTCGTCACGTTCAGAAATAACAGTCACATTCCGAGTGTCAGGGAGATTTGCTGGGGAGAAATGAGCAGGCAGGTGATGCCCCTCTGGGCGTACTGCCAGAAAGAATGAGAGCACTGTGGGGGTCACATGTATTCCTACCTTGGCTCCTTTAAGCTCTGTCCTTTATCTGTGAGCTTAGGAAGCACATTTAGGGTCCCAGCTTCAAGACTAAGCCTACTGCATACTTACCTTAAGGCAAGTGCCACTGAATATGGTGGAATTTGCATCCGAGTAAATATCAGGATTGAGCTGTTCCCTTGCATTTTCTTGAGAATTATTCAAACAGAGAGTGTTTTTTGAGCCTATTCCCTGTTCCTCTGCCATCAACAACCTGCATCTTGCTCTGGGTTTGAAATTAGCATTGTGCCAGCTTCTTAAACCATGTCTGCTCAGCTCTGGGATAAAAGCTTGGCCAATCTCCAGAAGAGTAGCCATGTGATGAGGCAGGGGCATAAAAAGCACGGTAGAACTTGTCAAAAGTATGATGGTCACATTGCTGCCTTTGTAGCTCACAAGACGTTCAGACACTCAAGTGCTCCATGTCCCTGTTGCTGTTGGAGCACCCAAACAGGCTCCTGCGGACTTCTGTGGAGCTCAAGGAGGCCTGCTTCCAAGGCAGCAGGCAAGTTGGAGTCTTGAGGTTTTGTGAGGTAATATAGCAATGAAGAGAAATGCACATCTTGGACAAGGCTTCACAATACTGAAGGGCAGACCCCTCTCACCCAGTGGTAGGCTGCCATTTACACCCTAAAGACTGGCGCATGGTGGGCATGACATGAACGGAGCCGGCTGGAGCCGGGGGTCAGACTAGATGGCCCAGGAGGCCCCTTCTGACTTGCTCTGTTTCTACATTTCTATCTGTTCTTGGATGTTTATCTGGACCCATTTCAGTCCGGCTTCAGACCCGGGAACGGTACTGAATCTGCCTTGGTCGCCCTGTACGATGACCTGTGCAGGGAGAAGGACAGGGGGAGTGCATCCCTGTTGGTTCTTCTGGACCTCTCGGCGGCTTTCAATACCATCGACCATGGTATCCTTCTGGATAGGCTAGCGGGATTGGGGGTTGGAGGCACTGCCTTGCAGTGGTTCCGCTCCTATCTCAACGGCCGGTTCCAGAAGGTGGTGCTGGGGGACTATGGCTCTGCGCCATGGCAGCTATGCCATGGAGTTCCGCAGGGGTCCATTTTGTCCCCTTTGCTGTTTAACGTCTACATGAAACCGCTGGGAGAGGTCATCAGGAGGTGTGGGCTGCGGAATCATCAGTACGCTGATGATACCCAGCTCTACCTCTTGTTCTCCACCAATCCAGGTGAGGCAGTGGCTGTGCTGAACCGGTGCTTGGCCGAGGTAATGGGCTGGATGAGAGCCAATAAACTGAAGCTCAATCCAGACAAGACGGAGGTCCTGTTGGTTGGCGGATCGGGCTTCGGAGAGGGTGGATTTGACCTGGCCCTGAATGGGGTTGCACGCCCTCTTAGGGACAAGGTCCGCAGCTTAGGAGTACTCCTCGACCCGGAGCTTTCATTGGAAGCTCAGGTGACAGCGGTGGCGAGGAGCGCCTTCCTTCAGCTTCGGCTGATTAATCAGCTGTGCCCCTACCTGGAGTACGACTGCCTGGCGACGGTGACACACGCGCTGGTGACTTCCTGCCTTGACTTCTGTAACGCACTTTACGTGGGGCTTCCCCTGAAGACGGTCCGAACACTTCAATTGGTGCAAAATAGAGCTGCCAGGTTGCTGACGGGGACGGGGCGTTATGCTCACATGACTCCAGTCCTCCGACAGCTTCACTGGCTTCCCATTGAAGTCCGGGCCCAATTCAAGGTGTTGGTTATGACCTATAAAGCCCTAAATGGCTTGGGACCTGGTTACCTGAAGGAGCGCTTACATCCATATATGCCCGACCGCCCCTTGAGATCTGCGGGAGAGGCCCTTCTCCGGGAACCCTCCGTGAAAGAAATTAGGAGGGTAGGTACTCGGAGGAGGGCTTTCTCTGCAGTGGCGCCCAATCTATGGAATGTGCTCCCCAGAGAGGTCCGCCTGGCGCCGTCGTTATTTGTTTTTTGGCGCCAGGTGAAGACCTTTTTATTTAAACGTCATTTTAATTGTTAACAATATTTACTTATTTATCTGGCCAGGGCGACTTCTTTTCTTTTCTAACTTCTTTTATATCGTTTATATTTTTTATTTATTTTATATTATTAATTTTAATTTTATATTGTTATTTTTGTATTGTATTTTATTGTGTTGTAAGCCACCCCGAGGCTTTGGCAAGGGGCGGCACAGAAATGTTCTAATAGTAGTAATAATAATAATAATAATAATGATGATGTTGGACCAGCCCTGAAGGTGCATTTAGCAACTCACCTGATCTCCAGGATGGAGCATCATTTACCAGCAAAAGCTGGTATGTCAGTGGCACTTGCTTCTCAACAGATATAGCCCAATCAGGTGATCGGCACAGTGATAATCTTACAATTAGGCTAGTGGCGCACTCTGTGGGGGTGTCTTAGGGCTGGTTCAGAAGCAGCAGCTGGCACAATGGGGCTACTAAGCAGGGCTGTGTTGAAGGTTCTGCACTGGCTGCTCCTCAGCTACCAAGCCAGTTTCAAGTATTATGCCTGAGAATCAGCCTTTAATGACATACCAGATCATTTCTCTCTATATAGATCGTGATCATTCCCAGGAAATGCTTTGCTATCCACACCACAACCTATAGAGCTTTATTGGCAGCAACAGGTCTTCTCTGCACTGGCCCCACTTCTGGAATGACTTCCTCTGTGCACCACACAAGCACCACCGATCCTGTTATGCAGCCCAACATGATTTCCTTTGCTTTTCCCAGACAGTAACAAAGCCTTAATAGCAGTGTGCTCGTTAATTTGTTGGAAACATTTCAGGATTTTTTAAAATGGAAGTGGTATATAAACAATTTAAAGTGAATAGTGAATAAAAGGGTATGAAAATAACCAGAAAGTGTTTTTGCTTCTTTGGCTCCCACGCGAGATTTGTGATTACCCTTCCATGCGGCCATCTGCGCCTGGCCTGGCCATGGTGAATGCCTCACTGCCACAGGTGCACAACAGCTAAGAGTCCGAGTGAGGGCAGGCTGCAGAGGATACTCCTGGCACAACGCAGGCAGGAGCAGCATTCCCAGTGCCATGATTTTGCCAGTGTATTTCACCAGCACAACCACCGTGCAATGCACCCAGCTGAACGGAGCCGTGATCCATCAGGTTGGATGTCAGAAAGTTCTTCCTGACAGTTCGGACCACTAGGAGGTGGAATGGTCTTTATTTATTTAGAAAGCTTCTATGCCGCCCCATTCGCCGAAGCCTCAGGGCGGCTTACAACAATACAAGGATCTTCCAAGGGAGATGTTGAGGTCCCATCAATGAGGGTGTTCAAGGTAAGATTGGACAACCACACACTGAGGGTTGGATTCAGCGCAAATGAGGAGACAAACCCTTTGAGGCAATCTATCTTTCTCCAATGGATGACACTCTTGCTTCTTCCTGGATGTCAAAAGTCAGTGTCCCCTGTGCACTTCGAATCTTTCTTTTCTCCTTGCCATAGAAGCAGTGGTCACACTGAAAAGATTATTTTAAAACATAAGCCACTCTCTTGCCCACCTGGATGCAGAGGTGCCAAGCGCAGCTTGCTGAGGCTCCATTCCAATTCTGCTGGCCTGCTGATTTAATTATGCCTATCATTTTCTCAACGGGGGCTGCAGGTGGCGCACAAGATGGCACTTTGCTAACTGATACGTGGGAGGGCTTCTCTAAAATGTGTTGTTGCATGCTGCCAACTCACCCCCAACTTATGGCAACCCTATACACTCCAGAATGCACTATCTTTGGTAGCCTTGCTTGGTTCTTGTGAGTTCAAGGCTGTGATTTTCAGTATGGGGTTCAACTCCTATTTGGTCTTCCTTTTCTACTTCTGCTTTTGACTTTCCCTAGCAGATTGTCTTCTCTGGGAAGTCCTACCTTCGTATGATGTGCTCAAAGTGTAACAGCTTTGTAGAGCTGGACAAGATCTGTAAGGCCAAATCCAGCTCCCTGCTCAATGCAGGACTCCAGTGAATGCATCCCTCACAGAGGGCCGCCCAGCTGCCTCTTGAATGCCTCCAGTGCCGGAGAGCCCACCGCCTCCCCAAGTCATGCGTTCCATTGCTGCATTGCTCTAACAATCAACATGTTTCTCTTGGTGTGCAGCTGGAATCTGGCTTCCTGTAACCTAAGCTCGTTATCATTATCTCCCCTCAGTTTTCTCAAGGCTAAACATGCCCAGCTCTTTCAGCCTTTCCTCACAGGGCTTTGTTTCCAGTCCCCTGATCATCTTGTTGCTCTCCTCTGAACTCTTTTTGTCTGCATCTTTCTTGAAGTGTGGTGCCCAGAACTGGACACAGTATCCCAGATGCGGACTAACTAGTGCTGAATAGAGGGGAACCAGGACCTTACCTGATTCGGAGCTATCCTTCTTTTAATGAAGCCTAAAAGAGCATTTGTTTTTGTTTTAGCGGCTACATCAATCACATTGTGGAGTCCTGTGCAGCTTGTAATCTACACTTCCAAGATCCTCCGCACTTCCAGTACTGTTGAGGACGCATTTGCTTTCTTTTTCCTAGGTGGAAACCTTGGCATTTGCCCCTGCCGCATGTTCCTCTTTTGCTTCCAGCCCACCACTCCAGCCTATCCAGATCGCCTCGCATCTTGTTTCCGCCTCCCGGAGAATCAGCTCCCGGTGCCCCCTGCCAATACGACGACCCCCCGCGGCTCTCCTGCACGCAACCCTGGCCGGAGCGCCGCTTTAGCCGGGGGAGCCGCGCCCGCAGCCCCGCGCGCTCCACCGGGGAAGGGGCGGCCTCCCGCGCGGGCGCGGCGCTGCCTCCGGCTGCGGAGGCCCCTCTGCGCCGCGTGCGTCCGCGGGCCGGAAGCGGCGTCACGCGCCGGGAGCGCCGGGTGGCTCGCATGGCGGCGGCGTTCGAGAAGGCGGCCAAGGCCGGCCGGCGCGAGCACCGCGAGCGCGCCCAGGTGGGATTCCGGGAGCGCCCGCCTGCCCGCCCGCCCGTGTGCTGGCCCGGCCCGGCCCGGCCCGGGAGCCGTGGGCCGAGGCGCCCGTGCGGCCCAGCCTCTCCGCTGCGACACGCGCGGCCGGGGCGGCGCTGCTGCTGGCGCGAGATGGGCCCGGCGCGGGGGCCGCCCTGGAGGGGCCCCGCTGAAGCGCTCGGCGGCCGCGGCCGGGCGCCCCTCGGCCTCCCGCGCGCGCCGCGCCGCCTCGCGACCGCTCACCCGCTCCGCTTCGTGTCTCCCCGCAGCCTGCCGCTCGGAAGCGCCTGGGAATTCTCGAGAAGAAGAAGGATTACAAGCGCCGGGCCGAGTGAGTGGCCGGTGCTCGCGGCGCGGAGCCCGCGTGGGCGCCCAGCCGGGGCAGGCCTTCCCGGGGGCAGCAGGCGCCTCCCCGCCCCGCCGGCCTCCCTCAGCTGTGGAAGAACGGGCCACACGGGCTAGCAGCCCCTCTCCTGTCCGCTGAGGCTAACGTAAACCCCAGTGCCTATGGGCACTGGAGCCGGTGGAAAAAGTTTCAACTTTTGTCATTTTGGGGTGAATTATATAAGGTTGCATTTACCGTTTTGCAATCTTATTTATCCGGTGTGGAGAGAGCCTTTTGGAGCTTCTCACCATCCTTTGTTATTTTAACTACTGTGGATAACTTGGTGTCATCCCCAATATTGACCACCTCACTGTTCACGGAACAAGTTTCGATACAGTTCCTTGGAAAACCACACTGTTTACTCCACTTTTGTTTTAAGAACTGACCTGCATTCTGCTTTCTTTTTAACCAGTTTCCATTTCACAAGAAGTCATGGATAGGAACAGTCGATTCATTCTGAGAATCTGGATCTATTTGATAACATCTTCCTAGTCAGTTTCTGGACATAACTTGAGGGAAACAACAAATGCAGCTACTGAAAATGTTAGACTGCATTTTAGGTTTTGCAGTCTGCTCATTTTGCTGTGCAGGGTGCTTTGTTACTTATGTAATGTTAAATGGCAAAATACAACTATCTCAAATGTGGTGGTTCCTGTTTTGGTGGGGGCAGGGAGGGAACACGGCTCCCCAGATTATCTGTGGAATTTCTCTTGATGCCGTGGATAGTAATTTGTTCTACCCTCAGATGGAAAAAAGAGCTCAGAGTTCAGCTGTGGAGTTTTTTGTCTAAAAAGGCTGTGCTGATGATGTGTTTCGGTGCCTTTCAGCGACTACCACAAGAAGCAGAATGCGCTCTGGGCACTTCGCAGGAAGGCCCAGGAGAAGAATCCTGACGAATTCTATTTCAGAATGACCCGTGTGCAGCTTCAGGTGAGGGTGTGCCTTGGAAAGCAGGGCTGTTGAGCATTTGGCTTGTATGGGTGGTCCTTTGGCTTCTTGCTAGTTTGCCAAACACATACCATAGTTCGGTAGCTATATACGGTGGTACCTTGGCTCATGAACTTAATCCGTTCCAGGACTCTGGTTGTGACCCAAATTGGTCGTGAGCCGAGTCAAATTTCCCCATAAGGGTCAATTTACTCACAAAAATTTGAAGCAAAGTGACAAAGGACAACGAAGATTGCAGCCATTTCCCTCCCCCAGTGATTGTGTGGGGGGTGGGGGGAGACGCACACAATCACGGGCGTGCATGAGGGAGGCTGGCGCGATTGCAGGTTCACTCGGGCAGGGAGCACGGGCAGAATTGCGGCCATCTCCCCCCCCCCCCCCAGCACAACCGCAGTCATGCCCGCGCAGGGAAGGTGGGCTGCTCGCGATCGTCACCCAATGCAGGGTTCGCGACCTGCGGCAACATTTTTCTGAAATTTCTGTTCGCAACCTGATTTGGTCATGAACTGAGGCATTTGTGAGCCGAGGTGCTACTGTGTATATCTGAGCTGACTTTGACAAATCTACTCCATCAGTAATGGCCCTCCATGTGCTAATGAAAGGAGTGAAATAATGTTCCTAACAAGACTGCTCAAATTCAGAAAGTGGAAAGAAAGGAAGCCGACTGGGTCATTTTCCAGGAGGAAGCTTTAAGTTGCTCAACAGTGCCTTACTGATACTGCTCAGCTACAGCAAGCAATTATTCTTGGGATCACTCACTTTTAACCTTGAACTTGAACTTCAGGGGACCTAATATGCATGTGCACTTCAGACTTGTGAGTTAAAACAGCACTTGTGACTTGAAACAGCACATAAATGTTGAGTGCTTATTTGCATGTGAAAAACTTGTAAATTTGAAAGGTTGGAAGGGGAATTATCGGAAGGAGTCACAGAATAGTAGAGTTGGGAGGGGCCAGCAGGTCCAGCCCTGCTGCTGCAGGACACCAAGTTGCAGTGTCCCATTCAGATGACAGTCGTCTACAGTTGTGCATCTGTCATTTGTGTCATCTGCAAAGAGGAAGCATCTTTCCTTGTACTTCCTCACATACATAATTAATAAAAATGCTGCAGAGTGCTGCTCCTAGGGCAGAACCTGCAGCATATCACTTCACTTCTCCCCAGTCTGAGAGCAGGCCACTGATGAGCATTCCTTGAGTCCAGGCTAGCAGCCAATTGTGGATCCACCTGATGGTTGAGGTATTTGGCCCATTTTGCTAGCTTGGTAATCAGGCTGTCATGGGGCACTTTGTCAAAGGCTGCGCTTGTCTAGATAGATTATGTCCACACCATGCCCACAGTCCATTTGGGAAGTTACCTAGCCCTAAAATGAAATCAGTCTGGCAGGACCTGTTCTTGAGAAATTCATGTTGGCTTCTAATAATTACTGCATTGTCTTTGAGGTGTTTTATCATTTTCCAGGGATTGATGTCAGAATAACTGGTCTATAGTTCCCACCTTCATCTTTTTGTCTTTCTTGTAGACAGGGACAGCATTAGCCCTTCTCATCTGGCCCTTCCCCTGTCTTCCATGAGGAAATTTCAGTTTAGAAGTTAAAAAAATAATTTGTATCAAAGCTCAAGTTACAAACATGGTCAGACAATTAACAAACGCATATGATATGGTTATGCTCTTGTGGTGTGGCCAGCCTTGTCAGTTGAGTAGTGGGCACTAAGGCTGAGCTGTGGTACAGTCTTTGCCTAAACGGAGGTGAGGCTACTCTTGGAGGAGGCTGTGCTGGCAGATTTTGGTTGGGGAATGGTTCTGGATGGCTTCTGCTGGAGGACTTCATGGCTGGTCTGACTGGGAGGTAGTGCTCCATTCTCCATTTGGGTCCATCTTTCCAATGTGTCCTACATCTCACTGGGAGGCCAGGAGGTGGTTTGCTTGTCACACTAATTCCTGGATTGTTTAACCCAGGCATTTTTGGGAATGAGAACGTTGCCTCCAGTGCGCTCATCACTTCTGTATTCAATTAACAACTTGAAGCTAACTCAACAATTGCCCATGATTTGCTGCTTGGCTACCTGTGGATTTTTTTTTTTATCCCATAAAGGAATCAAATGTTTGTCAACTTGCTCACCCCCAACCATTCCTGGGTTGTAGCCCAGCCACAAAATGTTTGGTCATGTCATGGTAAATCTCCCTGGCTCTTTCCCTCTTTCAGCATCAGCACTACGGTTTTTTCCTGAACTCATTGTGTGTATTTACTTGCTCACAGGATGGTGTCCATGTGATTAAACAGCAAGAAGAAGAAACCACGCTGGAGCAGCAGAAGCTGATGAGGACACAGGATCTGAAATACATTGAAATGAAGCGGGTAGCTGAAGTCAAGGTCAGACTTCCTCTCCTCCTCGAGGACTCCCCCTTGGCCCCAGGGGCTTCACCGGGCTCCCTGGCCAGCATCTCTCTGGATGGTGTGCAGGGCTAATTCCCGGTGCTTGCTGATGTGAGGCTGAACTTCAGTGGCAACTATGCCAGTGATTTTAAAATGTGATACTAAATGTGTGTGTCACTTTTTGTTACTGCGTGGTATATGGGCAACAGGCAGACAGGAGGGAGGGAAGGTCAGCTCTTCCCCAGCTGCAGCCTCAGTGGGTCACTGTCCACACGCCTGTGTTGCAGTCGGCCTTGCAGAAAGTGCCCTCCTGGCCAGGTGGGCAAGGAAGCAGCAAGGTGCTTTGCTCTCGATGATGGTTCCTTGCTGGAGGCTTGCTAAGGCGGGATGGGCTCTTGTGCAGCCCAGGCGTGAGAGGACCGAGCGTGAAGTCTCCAAGATGGCATGGGAGGGAGCGTGTTAAACCTGACTTCTCAGCACGGTCTTGCCTGGTGGTTCCAGCAGGCCTCTTTGCGGTGCAGGAGGCTCCCATCCGCCATGATGCGCCCTTGCTTGGCTGCCGCACTTTACATATCGAGAGGAGTATTGCAGGTTGGCACTGCACTGTGTATTTCTTTTCTCCTGTTTCGTTGTGGGGGAGGGTTGCTGTTTGCAAAGCATACCCATTCCCTTTTGGGCAGTGTCTGAGCTTTTCAAGCAAATGAGGGGCAGAGAGTCAAGTGCTCTTTCCATATGCCAGGTGTGCAAATGAGGTCAAAGGCCAGTGTGAACACAGGCTTGATCCTTATGATTTTGCCTGGTAAAATAGTAGCTCTGAACAAGGACTGCCCAGGTGACTAGGGCTGCCCTCCTTTACAAGCGGCCCTCAAGCAAGGGGGAAGGATGCTGTGCACTGGGTTTGTGGAGAGACCACACTGGTCATTGTGAGAAGCATGTTTGGATGCTTGGGGGCTTGAGGGACGGTTGCATCTGAGAACGGAGAAGACTCCTACCCCACAGCAGTGTGGCTGTTCCTGGCGTGGCTTATTCACCAGAGCCAGCAGCCTCTTAAGCGGACGAACGACTGCCGTGCTTCTGCTGTCATCTCAATGGGGCCGATTGGGCTTGGTGAGGAGGGTGGTTCTCGGATCATACATTTTATGCATAGGGTTTCCGAATTGGCCTCTGGGACAGGTAGAAAGCCCCTGTTGCAGTGTGTGCCCCATGGAGGTTAGGATTGTCTGTTCTGGCTGGAAGCAGCCCTTCCTGACTGCAAGGAGGGAGTTTTTCTCCATCACCCACACATTTGCCCAGGGTGCCTGGACTGGACCTTCTTGCAGCACGGACATTGTTGAGCTCTGGCCCCTCTTAGCGCTTCTGTGCTTTCCAGCAAAAGCTTAATGATTTTATTCTGTTACTACTTTTTGGGTCTCAGAAAATTGAAAGGCTGAAGTCGGAGCTCCACCTGCTGGAAGCTGAAGGGAAACAGCCAAACAGACATACATTCTTTTTTGACACCAAGAAGGAAGGTAAAGGCGTGCCTGCTTGTATTGGTTGGCTGCATGAAGGGTGCATGGGGGGAGGTGGGTTTTTTGTTACCTTGCCACACTATCCAAGGGGCTGGGCAGCTACAGGTAGCAGAGGTAGCAAAACAGCCCTTGTCTCTGTTTCTCCCTCTGCAGTCATTCTAGAACCAGGTGGCATTGAGGACTGATGCCTGGGCCATCTTGTGTTCTTTTTGCCTCCCATGCCTTTTATTTTGTGCAGTGTGTTCCTTTTTCAAGCGTATGCCCAGGGCTGGGGACTGCCTCGTGGCTTGTCTGCAAGACTTTTTAGATGGGAGCAGGGCAGCATACGTAGAAACACAGTGAGTCAGAAGGGGCCTCCTGGACCATCTAGCCTGACCCCTGGCTCCAGCCAGCTGCACTCATGTAATACCCAGCGTGCAGCTGTCCCATCTTTTCTTGAATACCCTCACCGATGGGGCCTCCACCGTATCCCTTGGCAGCCCATTCCATATCCTAGGGCTCCTAACATCAGGAAGTACTTCTTGACATCCCAACCTGAAACCTGCTACCTTGAGCAGTCCCATTGGACTGTGTCCTTCCCTCCACTGCAGAGAACAGGTCACGACTCTTTACCGTGTGACACCCCTTCACATACCCGTCTGTCATTATAAGATTCCCTCCGAGTCTCCTCCGGGCTAAAGAGACGCAGCTCTCTCAATTTTATCTCATATGACATATCCCCAGTATGGTTACCATCCTTATGACCCTGTGCTGAATTGGTTCTAACCTAGCTAGAATCACAGATATACATTCTTTAAGTGAGGCTTTCTTTTCTAGTGCAAAGATTTGACATTGCTACCCACCTGAACACTGCTCCCGAGCTGGTGGGCAGAGTATACAACCGTCCAACCCTTGAAACGCTGAAGAAGGAATGCATTCAGGGGACCACTACACCTGTTCAGTTGCAGGTCTGTACAGATGCTTATTGGCCAGCTAATCGGAGCGTGCCTGTAACGGAGTAAAAGATCCATGGGCTTCTGCGTTCGTTCAGTCTCGTAGTGCAGAGAGGAGTAAAGGTATTCTCGATGCATCAGGGGCAGAGAAATGACTTGGAGCAGGAACACAGGAATAAGCAGACTGGTCTCTCGACAAAGAATGTTGAGGACTGCCCTGCTAAGCTCATTCATACTACTTGGGCTGCTCAGAACCTGGAGTTGACTGACAGCTGAGAACAACGTCGTTAGAACTGAAACGTGCCTCCCCGCCACCACCTGCAGCCCAGTGCTTCACAGAAGGTGCTCCTGCTCCCTCCCTGTCTAAAGCAGCAGACCAGGCAGCTTTCAGCAGCTCAGCTGGAGACTTGACTTGGCGCTGTCTCCTGTCTGGGCTGTGGGAAGCTCGTACCTAGTAGCAGAAATATTTGCACCAGGCTGTGTCTGCATTGAGCAACGTGGAGCAACTTGAGTGCAGAAGAATGCGAATGCCGTTTGGACGAGCTTAGCTGGAGGAGATGGCGGATAAGGCTCCCACCCTTCCTCAGGCTTCCCACTGAAGTCCCTGGGCCAGTTCAGACAGGTGGCTTCTCCCCTTTTCAGGAGACTTGCATCACCTTCTTCTGCAGGCGGAACAAGTTGGGATCCGTCCTGCAGGCTAGTGCTGATTAGCGCACTCCTGCCATGAGATGGCTGTGCGCGGCAGTGCTCTGTCATGCTGGGGCTCGCGGCTGGGGGCCAGGTGCAGTGGGGAGCCAGCCCAGCCCAAACGCCCTCGGTGCCTGGTGAAATGGGAGGCCTGGAGTGCTTCCAGACCCTAACCCTCCCCTCTGTCCTTGCGGGTCTCTGTGCACACACACCATCCATTGAAGCATCTGCCCATCAAAGGGCTGCTGTTGGTCCTGACACGAGGCCTTGAGGGAGCTGCCCGCAGCAGACTGCCGGCCACTTCCTTTGCAGCCAGCAGCTGATTTTCCCGTCCTCCTCACACCGTGTCAGCTGAGTCTTTGAGTTAGGAGGAGGAGATTCAGGGAAGCTTCAGCAAGTAAAGAAATCAGAGATGCCCCCTCAGCGTGGAAGAGGCGAGACCCCCACTTGGGAGGATCAGGCATCCCCTTGCAGGCGTACGTCTGTCTCCTGCAACAGCCCAACTTCGCCTTTCTGTCTCTAGAAATTAGCCCAGCAGAGGAGAAGTCAGTACAACCTGCTGCAGCAGCGTGTTGAGCGTGAGCGGAAAATGTTCATCATCGCCCAGAAGCTCCAGACCCGGAAGGATCTCTTGGTGAGGGGCCTGGGTGGTTCCGCCTTTTTTTGGCTCCTCACTGGAGCTGCAGCAGCTGCATATCCTTGGGGTGGCGGATCAGGATTGCCTGACTGCAGAGCTGTTCTCATGTGGGGCCAGGGCTGTGGTCGCTCTGCAGCTGTCTGGTTCAGTCTTCTGGGGGGGCAGGGGTGGGGGCACGGGCCTCTGGGAATCGCAGGCCCTGGCTGTGGGAAAAGCCATGGGGCCTGCTGCACAGGCAGTTACCCAGGCCAGCACACCGGAACGCAGGCGCCTCTCGTGGAGCCCGGGCACAGGCTTTTGTGCCTGAGGCAGCAGGAACTGTTTGGGAAGAGGGATGGCTTGAAAAGACTCACTTCCTTCTGCCTCCACTGCAGGACAAAACTCAGAAAGTGAAGCTGAAGAAGGAAACGGTGAACCAGCCAGCTATTTACAAATTCCAGTTCAGGCGGAAACGCTGATTGCTCCGGAGCAATTTCCCCCTGCCTCCTCCTGCTCTGCAGGACTCTGTCCCCATGCGGCTTCAACTGCACGAGCAGCTGGAGTCCACTGCAGTTTTGTATTCTTCAAATAAACACGTCCTGCAGATCCTGCCTGCCTGCCCTCCCGTCCTCTGTGTGCGTGGCCCTTCATTGGTACTGCCAGGCAGTGCCGTGTCTGCAGAGAAACTTCCCTTCTGCTCTTGTTGTTGGGCAGGCAGAGAGCTGCAAACAGCGGGGAAGTCCCTTCTGCTGATTGACTTGACTGCTGTGCGTATACGTGAAGATGTTGCTGAAGGGGCATGGTGGAATCTGGGGGCACCTCCTGGCAGCTGATCAGAGGGGCGTGTGGAGAGGTAGCCACCGGCCGGCAGCAGCTCTCCCCTTTCGGCCGATGGAACGGCTTCTGCTTCAGGACGGCTGCCTCTGTCCTGGGTGCACTGTTGCTGGCCCAGGGGAGGGAAAGGAGGCCTCCAGCTGGATTTGCCTTCATGGCTTTGGCGCTGTCCCAAAGGGATGGCGCGATGGCAGGGAAGAGTAGCCCAAACGTGCATTCCTGTTTGTTTCTGGGCTCTGGCCCGTCGGTGCTGACTTGCTGGCCCAAGGATGAGCCTAGTCCTGGAGGGCCAGCAGGTGGCAGTGTTGCTCCACAGCTGGTGGTGCTGCTCAGAAGGCCATGGGAGCAGGGGCCGAGCACTGATTTCTGGTTGCCCTAGTGTCGTTTTGGGCTCGTGGGGCAGGTCGGCCTCCCCTGGGACTGGCATGGGCTCCCTTCTGTGGGATCTGTGCTTGGTCCAGATGGCTTGCTTGCCTTGCCTTCTCCGCTCCTATTCCGAGAGCAGAAGAATCCTAAGATCATAGAACAGTAGAGTTGGAAGGGGCCATAGAGGCCCTCCAGTCCAGCCCCTGCTGTGGCAGGACACCAAGCCCCGCTGTGCATAAAGGTGTGCTCAAGCCAGAAGGTACGGAGGCTGCCCTTGTGGCCTGTGGGAAAAGGCCTCTCCCTCTCACTGCTGGTTGGCGATGTCCCCCTTTGCTGCAGCAGGTGCTCTAGGCAGAGCTCTTCCCACAGAGGCTTCCCTTGAGAAGATGGCCTTCCTTTGCCTCAGTGGTTATTTGCTGGCATTCTGTACCACCTAATAGCCAAAGCTGCCTGGGCAGGTGGCAAAAAGGAGTGGAAAGCGTGAAGTACAGAAATCGGATAAAAGCAAAGCTGTGCTCCAGCCCCATTTCTTGTTTTTAAGAAGTGAAAACATGAAGCAAATGGCTTTGAGCCTGTGGGGGGGGGGGCCTTGCCCCACTCACTTGGCAAGTCTTCAGCCTGAATCTCAGATACTGGCACTCACCTAGGCTGGGTTGCCTGTGGGCAGCACAGGGCGGGTGGAGGCTGGGCTCCGGGAGTTCAGGAATGGAGCAGAGCGTGTGGTTGATGGCCAGGCTTGGGAGGCCGCACGTTTGTCAGCCTGTGCTGGCCCATCTGTCACTCCTGCCCTGATGTTGCTTCAAGAGGAGTGTGGAGATCTGTCACTCGCTCTCCCTCTTTGCTGCCACAGCGCTCCAGCGGAAGCTGAGGCGCAGGCCCTGGGAGGCAGCCATGGCCAGCATCAGCTGCGCAATGCTTCCTGCTCGGAGCAGCTCTGTTTCCGGCAGCTGGCCGCCATTCAGCACCTGTGTGTGCACCGAAGGTGGAGAGTGGGAAGGCGAGTCCAGTGTCCTCGCACGCATCGAGAAGGGCTCCGGAGGTGCGGTGCTGCATTTTCTTGACCTCTGTTCCATGTGCCTTGTGAAAGGAGGAGTTGCCTCCCTGACCTGTGAGGCCTGGGCCTTGGGGAGTGGGAGCAGATCCTGCGTGCGTCTCCAGGCCTGTCCTGCTCGGGGTGCTCAGGGGGGTCCCTGGGAGCGTGTCTCCTCCAGGCAGTGCAGCTCTCCCTTCCCGTTCTTTGCACAAGGCCATCTTCAAGTGCCTGGTGGGGGGGGGGGGGTCCTTCAGCCCTACCTCTGACCCGGAGCGATAGGCAGGTGGAGATAATTACAGCAGCAGGCAGAACAGGCAGTTTCTCAAGTGCTTGTTGCTGCCGTGGCTCCCCCTCGCGCTGCCTCCCTTTTGCCGAGCGGCAGGAAGGGCTGGATGACGGCGCCTTCAGGTTCCCAGGGAGCTGCCTCGGTCCCAGCTGCTAGACGGTGCAGGTTCCCTGGCACATGCAGAGGGCGAGGCGACAGGTTCGCCAGCCAGGTCCAGAGTGGGGGCGTCTGTGGGGGCATCGGGGCATCAGGCTTCTCTGTCTGGACGTGTTCAGCCCGAATAAATCGAGTGCCCTGTGGGGCTGTGGGAGGTGCACTGGCCCGGCCTCCTGCCTCGCCCACCAGGCTGGGCCTGGGGCCAGCCCTGGCTGGCTGGTGGCAAGAGTCCGGGTTGCCCTCCCTGGGCCGGGCCAGGCCGGGCCGGCGCTCCCAGCTGCTCTTGTGCGGCCTTCGGAGGGAGCCGGCTGCCCGCTCATGCATTCTCATGAGCTGTGGCGGGGCGGGCAGCTTCTCTTCGTTAGAGCTGGAGCTGAGGTCTGTTTTGGTTGCTCATCAGCATCAGGGAACTGTGTCCCTGCGAGGTTTGATACAATTTAATTAACCTAATTAAAAGCTCTGATTGCAGGGATGATTGGGGTAGAGCCAGCAGCAACTGCATATTTATAATGAGCTGGAAGGTGTGGGACCTGTGCCAAGCGAGACGCATTGCTAATGAGCTGGTGTGCTTGGAGCGCGCTTGTGGAACACTGGTGTTTATTTTTGGCAGCAGAGACCAGCTTCTCTCCCAGATAAAAGTGCGGGAACCTGCCTCTCTCCAGCTCCGGGAGGAACTCTTGGTGGAGGCAGAAGCCACCTGTGTGTGCCCCCCAGCAAGTGGGGGCCATGTCCATGCGGCCTGCTGCTCATCTCTGAAAGGGCGCGGGGGGGAATGGGGGCCCTGCTGGGCACCGCTGGCCGCAGCCACACAGGCAGCCCCTTGCCCTGCCCCGTCGGTACCCGATGGCTCTGCCACCAGGAAGATCCCTGCTCCCTGCTGCCCTTTCCCGGTCAAAAGTCGCCCTCCTCTGGCTTCACCTCCCTTTGCCCAGACTGCCCTGGGTGGTCTGCCCTCCCAGGCAGCTTGTTCAACTCCATGGATTCAGGTGGAGGCTTCACCCGCTCTCTGCCATCTGCCTGACTGGAGATGCAGTGCTTCAGCACCAGTCTTTCCCATGCTGCTTTGTGGAGAAGGGGGGATAGGTGGTGGTAGGGGCCGCAAGATGTCGTGTGAGGGTGTGCCAGCCCCCAGCCAGCAGGGTGAGCCTCCACGTCCACTGTGTGAGGGAGAGGTGATGATGGCTCTTGCAACACTTTCTGCTGAAAAAATAAATGGAGGCAGAGGCAGCAGGTGGCAAGTTTGGGCTGCAGAGTACGGCAAAGGTGCTCTGTGGGCTTTTGGGCCATGTTGCCCTTCCTCCGTACGGACTGCAGCAGCCTCTGGGAAATTCTAGCCCAGCCTTGGCCGACATAGCTGCAGCTGCCTCCAGTCCGTAAACACAGGAGAGAAGCCTGGCCTCAACCTCATCTCAGCTTCCTGGAGCAAGCCGGGTCCAGATGCTCTACAAATGGTGACTCGAGCACAGGGAACCCTGGACTAGCCTGTCAGCCGACCAGCCACACTCCTTTTGGTTTTTCTCTCCCAGCTGTGCGCAGGGGGTGGGCAGGCGGCACAACTACGCAGGGTTGCTGTGTGGCATGTGGCCTGGTGTGTCGGCCGAGACGAAGAGCTCTCCGTGTCCTCCCGACTTGCACCATCGCTCACGGGGAGGAGGAGGTGGAATCCCAGGGCATGGCATGTGGTTGCCCTTTCGGAGCGCCTTTGCCTTTGCCTTTGAGCAGGGCCTGGGGCCTTCCTGACGGCCCTCGCTGGGGCTCTGCTCCGGGGGGTCAGCACATCCCGCTGCCGCACGGCAAGAGGCAGCTTGGTGCGGCGGCTCTTCCAGACCTGCATGGCACAAGCTGCCCTTTCCCATCTGCTGCTGGCCACCTACGGAAGGGCTTGGCTGCTGACCTTCCGAACAAGCCGTGATTCTTCCGTGCTTTGCTGGCTCCCTCGCAGACTTGCTCTGCTCACAGGGCGGCTGTTGTGCTCTTGGTATGAGGGTATCCCACCCCATCGCCACCCACGCGAGCAGCGGCCGCTCTTCTGGAAGACCTTCAGCAGCTGACTCCCCAGGGCTGGGCAGTCCCGCTGGGAAAGCTCCCTGCACTTCTGTGTGCTGGAAGGGAAAAGTCATGGCCCTGGCATGGAGGCTGGCGATGGGGGCGGCGACACAACTGCAGAGCAGGAACTCCAGATCCAGAAGGACTGGGACAGACTATGGAAGTGGGCGGGAGACAGCGGGATGCTGTTCCTTGTGGATAAGGGCAAGAAATGGTGTCATAAGTACAGGTTAGGGGACAAGTGGCTGGAGAGCAGCACTTGTGAAAGGGACTTCGGGGTGCTGGTCAACTGCAGGCAGAACATGAGCCAGCAGTGGAACCAGGTGCCTAGAGAGGTGGTGGGCTCTCCCATACTAGAGACATTCAAAAAGAAGGGCAGGACGCGCTCCAACGGAGCAAAGCTCAGGGAACCCAGGTTCAATTTGGATGCCAGGAAGTCCTTCCTGACAGTTAGGACCCCGAGGGTGTGGAATGGGCTTCCACGAGAGGTGGTTGAGGCCCCATCGGTGAGGGTGTTCAAAGAGAGGCTGGACGTGCACATGGTGGAGCCGGCTGGTGCCGGAGGTCAGGCTAGATGGCCTGGGAGACCCCTTCTGACCCGCTCTGTCTCTGTGTTTCTATTTGGAGCAGCACCTTGGCTTCACAAGCACCAGCACCATGTCCATGCTTGATGACATCTCATTGGAGCTCGGGAAAGCTGGTTGTGCTTTGCTCCCACTGATGTCAGGATTTGCCTGGTGTTTGACTCACTGCATGCTTACATGAGCCTCCTCAGAAGTAAGCCCAGCTGAGTATAGTTTCTTCCAGCACTTGAGCATTAGTCTGGATCCTGTGTGCACCAGTGTTCATTTGCTCCGCCTGATGTTTAAATGGATTTATTTTTTGGCTGT